TACATGTATATGCATGTGTGTGTGTATATATGTGTGTCTGTATGTATATATATGTTATAAAGCATATTAATACCATAAGAATCTGTGAATCTATTACCCAATGTAAGAAGTGGAGCATGACAACTGTAGTACACATGATTTTTACTATATTTGTATTTTATTCTATTTTCCCTTAAGAGATAACATATTTGAAGTTATATTCAACATTTCCTTTACTTTTTAAGTGAAGGGGTGGACGATGATCCTATTATCCTGCCCCGGCACACCTGTGGGCATTTCTCGTTAGGTGGAACATTAAGAAAAGAAATGAGACACAGAGACAAAGTATAGAGAAAGAAAAAGTGGGCCCAGGGGACAGGCGCTCAGCATACAGAGGACCCGAGCGGACACCAGTCTCTGAGTTCCCTCAGTATTTATTGATCATTATCTTTACCATCTTAGAAAAAGGGAAGTGGCAGGATAATAGGATCATCATAGGGAGAAGGTCAGCAGTAAGACATGTGAATAAAGATCTCTGTGACATAAGTTTAAGGAAAAGTGCTGTGCCTTGATATGCATATGCAAACATCTCTATAAACCTTTTTAGTGCATAAAGAGCAGCATTGCACTAGCAAGTCCCACCTTTCGCCCTAAGGCGGTTTTCTCCTTTCTCAGTAAACAGAACATACAATCGGGTTTTACACCCAGATGTTCCATTGCCCAGGGACGGGCAGGTGACAGATGCTTTTCTCTATCTCAACTGCCAAGAGACCTTCTTTCCTCTTGTACTAGTCCTCCTGAGCACAGACCCTTCACAGGTGTCAGGCTAGGGGACAATTAGGTCTTTCCCTTCCCACGAGGCCATATTTCAGACTATCACATGGAGAGAAACCTTGGACAATACCTAGCTTTCCTAGGCAGAGGTCCCTGCGACCTTTGGCAGTATACCTGTCCCTGGGTACTTGAGATTAAGAGAATGGTGATGACTTTTAACCAGCAAGCAAGCTGCCTTCAGGCACTTGTTTAACAAAGCACACCCTGCACAGCCCAAAATCCTTTAAACCTTGAGTCACTACAGCACATGTCTTTTGCAAGGACAAGGTTGGGGGTAGGGTCACAGATTAACAGCATCTCAAATACAGAACAAAATGGAGTCTCTTATGTCTACTTCTTTCTATATAGACACAGTAACAGTCTGATCTTTCTTTCTTTACCCCACATTAAGAAACTTTTAAGATTTTAATTAGTTATAATTTCTAGGAAGTTGCAAAGAAACATACAGAGAGATGCTGTGTACCCTTCATCCAGCTTCACCCAAATTTAACATCTTGCGTAACTGCAGTACCTGATTATGAAAAGCAGGAAACTGACCTTAGTACAACCCACAGAGTTATTTGGTTACACGTGCACTCATTTGTGTGTATATGTCATTTTATCATATGTATATTTCTGTGAAACTCCCATCACAACTAAGATATTTAACTTATTAAATAATATGCCAGGCAGAGTGATTGTTTCACATTTTTATATAGATGAGGAGTGTTTTAAGACATTTATTTTCTTTCTGAAACTTTTCCATCTTTGTCACTTACAATTGAATTTGTTTTCCTCAGTGATACTTGTATTTGAGGGTTTTCAATGAATAATAATTTCATTGAATAATTACAGTGAATAATAATTTATTTCACAAAAAGACGTCATAGCGCACACAGTATGAATTTATCAATATTAAAAGACACTTTGAATAACTGACATCAATAATGTATTTTTAAAACTCACATGTATACTCTTATGTTTTACACTTAAATTTTCCAGTTAAATTCCTAGGTCAAAAATGAAGTTCGACTTGTGCTTCTGAGAAAACTGGAGTAGAAGCAGTTTTGCTTCTTCCTCCCACTTAAATGCAACTTAATATCTTGGACATCACATAGAGAAAAACATATAAAGACCTAGAAAGGGAGAGAGAAGACGGCCCACTCTTAGGGAGCTCAGAACTGGGAAGGACATGGTATGGCAAGAGCCCCTGGTATTTCTTATTTGCCTCATATATTCAGATTGGATAGAAACTTAAAACCTCTCCTTTCTTCTAGTTCCTTGTTAAGTAATACATTGATTAACCTACCATTTTTAGATTTTTATTTACTTCATTAGCTGTAGTGAACTCTTCTTTGGACTGTCTGTGTTTTGGTTTGAGGTTTTTATTTGATGTCTTCATTTCCCTCATGGTGTTACATTAAAGCCTCTGCAGAGGTCCCAATTAGGAGCTGAGTTTTGTGGCTTGCACTTGTAATCCCAGCTACTTGGGCAGTTGAGGCAAGAGGATCACTGGAGCCAAGGAGTTAGAGGCTGCAGTGAGTTATGCACTGAGTGTTGCACCCACTGCACTCCAGTCTGGGTGACAGAGTGAGACCCCATTTGTAAAAAAATAAAAAAATACGTGGAATTGAGGGTGGTAAAAATGTAAACAGAAGACTCATCTAGCTAGACTCATCGAGCTTCCTTTCCCTTTTTGCTCTTCATATTTGCACCTGGGGCTGTGAGAGTGGTACTTTGAACATTGTATTCTAGTTCTAATGTCCGCTCACCTCTGTGGCTATAGAGACCAGGAGTAGACCGGCCTCAGTGAGGATAGCCTGTTGTTCTTTAACTAATGTTCCTACTTTCACACCTCAATATTGGTCCTGTGGTACAAGGTTACATTTTTTTTAATTCAAGAGGCTTAATGTATATTTATTATTTCATAGATAAAATCCATCAAATACATCTATATAAAATAATAAATAAATGGAGAAAAACAGATTAGTCTAAAATTATTTCACATAAAATAACTAAGGAAACAACCTGTGAAAACACTTAAAGATATGATAATTATTCCAGTGCAATTAACATTATTTTGACACAATATCTAATTCTGAACTCCTTATCATATAAATTTAAAAAAATATGGAATCACATGCATGACATGTGGGGATACAGTAATAACAGAGTGAGGCATAAGACTTAACTCGTGTATTGGTTATGTATTGTTGCATAAAAACATGTAGCAAACTTAGTCATTTAAAACAGTACTCCTTTGTTTCCTCATGGTTTCCATAGTTAGAAGTGCAGGCACGACATATGCAGATTGATTCTATGCATAGTCTCACAAGGCTACAATCATAGTGTCATTCAGGCTGTGTTCGCATCTGGAACTCCGGGGTTCTACCAGACTTGCTTAGGTTTGTGGCAGAATCCGGTTCTTTGCATTTCTAGGACTGAGGTCCCCACATTCTTGCTGCGTGCTGGCCAAGGACTGCTCCAGGTTCCTAGTGGCCGCCTCCTGGAGGACTTGGGTATGCAACCATCTCCACAGGGCAGCTTCCCTCTTCCAAAAGCACGGGAGAATCTGTCCCAGCCTGAACCTCTGATCCTTTGTAGGAGCTCCCACCTGATCAAGTCTGGCCACCCACTATAATCTCCTTCAAACTGATTAACTCAAAATTGACTGATTTGGGAGATGATAGCCACATAATCCCTCCACTTTTGTCATCTGATAGAATCTCATCACAGGAGTGAAATCCACAACTGCCACAAGTCCAGTCCGCAGCCAAGGAGCATTTTAGGGGCAAGAATCTGGGGGCCATCTGTATTAGTCAGGGTTTTCTAGAGAGACAGGACTAATAGGAAATATATATGTATATTACATATATATATAATGGGAGTTTATTAAGTAGTATTAACTCACGCAATCACAATGTCCCACAATAGGCTGCCTGCCAACTGAGGAGCAAGAAAACCAGTTTGAGTCCCAAAGCTGAAGAATCTGGAGTTGGATGCTCAAGGGCAGGAAGCATCTGGCACAGGAGAAAGATGTAGACTGGGAGACTAAGCCGGTCTACTCTTTTCTTGGTGTTCTTCCTGCTTCATATCTTGGCAACACTGGCAGCTGATTAGATTGTGCCCACCCAGATTAAGGGTGAGTCTGCCTTTCCCAGCCCACTGACTCAAATGTTAATCTCCTTTGGCAGCACTCTCAGACACACCCAGGTTCAATACTTTGCATCCTTCAATCCAATCAAGTTGATACTGAGTGTTAACCATCACACCATCCAAGAATTATTCCTAGCACATCTCACAAGCTTTACTCTAGTTAAGGGTTCTCAGCTTAGCTATGTTTCAGATTTTGAGGGAGCTTCTTTAAAATGCATATTTGTAGGCCTCTATCTGAATCTGATTCAGATTCAGAATTGAACCCTCTCTCCTCAGTTATAAATATATTATTATTTTCAATAAGCTATAGAAGCAACACTTATGCAGCCAGCTTCATCACCCTGGGACTTCTGATAACCACTTCTCTATTAAATATAGACATCTCACTTGCATTTCATTTATTAAAGTACAGTATTTTCAAAACTACAGTTGAGTTCATGAGGAGCCAAGTAACATAAATGGGATCATTAAAAACTAAATGACAAAGGCAGAAGCATCTCTCTAGCCTCTGGAATTAGCAATCTGTTGTTCAAGCCTTCAATGTTTTAAGGGATCAGCCTGCCCCCCTCACAATAAAACTGAGTTAATAGCTAAGTTTCATAAAAAAGTTATCACTTCTTGGCATTAAATCAATAGACTATTCCTCATGATGAAGGCTTTTACATATTGTCACTAATTTAAACTTGGAGTCTCATTCTAAATTTGGATCCAAGTGCTACCTACTGGCAGATGAAATTTTGGGTAGATTGCCAAATATCCTCTGGTACTCCTTTTGAAGTCAATTTCCCCAAAGTGTGTTCTACAGAACTTAATCTTGTGACATTAGTCATTTGGAAAATATTACCTCGCTTCCTCTCTTGATAATTTATAAGGATTTGAGCTATTCCTAGAAATTGACAAGAAAGTGTGGAAAATTGTGTATGATTTGAGTGTAAATAGCAGGCTTGTCTTCCTCATGGGGAAAGTAGATACGTTTCAGTGTGTAGAATTCATCACTTCTATTTTTGAATGCTCATAGGACTTATATATATTTTTTTAATTTCTGCATCTAGACTGCTCTCCAGAATGTTGAGATTGCCCGAGAAGTGACCCCAGCAAAAGAAAAATATTGCTCTACCTGAATTCAAGTAAGACCATTACTTTGCAGTAATGTATCATGCGTAAATTAGTGGAAAAAAATCAACTGTATTTGTCTACACTTCTAAGAGACAATTGTTTTCTTTGATATTAATCTTTTTGAAGCTTCTTTCTCTGTTCTTGAAAATTGACATAGAAAACAAAACCTCTTGTTATGGAAGGAGTAGAAATATTCAGAAATATCTCAATGTTTAATTGCAGTTACACAGCATTTAGATGTGTCTTTCCACAATATTTATTTAAACAGCTATGTTGATTTGTGTTGTTTCTTTAATAAATACTATTTATAGGAATTAGAAAAATAATTGAGTTTTTCTAAAACACCCTTTATTAGGTGAAGGGTCAGTGTCTCCTCATGAAGATGGTAACTGGAGTTACACATTTCAGTGAGGTGTGATTTCCTAAGAAGTAGACACTCAACGAGCAGGGGGCAGGGGGCGGTGCTTGGCAGAGTGACTATGGACTGTCACGTTCTCTTTTGTTTGTTCGGAGGAATGAGTGAATGAGGTGAAATTAGTACAATGAATCAAATTCCTTCAGGAAGGGAGTGTGAGTCAGCATGTATGATGCAGGTGGATCAATGACCTTCTAGTAGAATAAGTGTTACTTTAGGAAGGAATCATACACTATTTGTTGGAAGGAGGTGAACCTGGCTAGAAAAGGTTAGGATTGAAGTCACTAAATCTGTTTTTATAATAAGCTGTCACAGTATTTTTGACAGCTTATGTCCTAGCAGTCCAAGGACTTATAGTATAGTTTTAGTAAGAATCATCAAACTCACTGATATCTGTTAAGTTACAATGAGTGCCAGTACTGAAAAGTATATTGTGTGCATATTTATGTATTCAATTATACTTAAATGTAGTATAGAAGTGGCGAGAATCTTTGAGTGTATCATGTGTTATAAAAACCATGAAATTTTATAACTATGTAGCCACGCAGATTGTCTATTATAAGAGATTTCTAGGCTGGGTTTTCAAGGACTATGGCAAGTTCAGAGGCACTGGGGATTAGGCAATTAAGCCTCAAAGTTGCCCCGTTTGCTACCTATTCTATTAGACGTGGAAGCCACATTGTGCTGTTTCTTGTCGTGGAATGTACATGGGAATGGGTTGCTCATAGATTGATTTCCCTCACCCAATCTGACCCTAAAATTATTCAGGTTGATTTTTAAACAATTATCTTCTTAAAAAATTTTACTTTAAGTTTTGTGATACATGTACAGAACATGCAGTTTTGTTACGTAGGTATACATGTACCATGGTGGTTTGCTGCACCTATCAACCCATCATCTAGCTTTTAAGCCCCGCATGCAGTAAGTATTTGTCCTAATGCTCTCCGTCCCCTTGGCCCCAACCCCAACTCCCAACAGGCCCTGGTGTGTGATGTTCCCCTCCCTGTGTCCACGTGTTCTCGTTATTGAGCTCTCACACGTGAGAATATGTGGTGTTTGGTTTTCTGTTCTTGTGTTAGTTTGCTGAGAATGATGGCTTCCAGCTTCATCCACGTCCCTGCAAAGGACATGAACTCATTCTTTTTTTATGCCTGCATAGTATTCCATGATGTATATGTACCACATTTTCTTTATGCAGTCTATCACTAATGGATGTTTTGGTTGGTTCCAAGTCTTTGCTATTGTGAATAGTGCTGCAATACACATATGTGTGCATGTGTCTCTACAGTAGAATGATTTGTAATCCTTTGGGGATACACCCAGTAATGGGATTGTTGGGTCAAATGGTATTTCTGGTTCTAGATCCTTGAGGAATCACCACACTGTCTTCCACAATGGTTGAACTAATCTACACTCCCACCAACAGTGTAAAAGCATTAAACAATTATCTTTAAATTAAACAGTGTATTTTCATCATTCATGTAAACTCAGAAATTTCCAAAGCACATTTTCTACAAAGCAAAAAGAACCCTTTCTAATGCATTATAAATGCCATTATATATCCAAAGTTTTCAAGTTATTTTTCATTGCTAGACCTTTTTTCGTAGTTAAATATATGCTTCACATAAAACCTCATAGAGGAGTCCAACAGACAAAAGAGGGAAAAAGAAGCATTTTAATGGAAGCAGCAGTGAGTGATCTAGAACTTGGCTGCTCTGTCACTGCCTTCATTTCTTCTAAATCCATTCCCATTCCCCAAACCTCCAGACTAGATGAATATTAATATTTCTTTGAGTCCTGTGATTCCCTGGTTTTTCAATTCTTAATTTGGAAGCACTTGTGGAAGAATCAATTGAAGGGCACAGAGAGCAAAGGATGGAAGCTGAAACTTCCAGAATTATTCTGGGCTAGCCATCAGTGGCCAAGCTGTTGCTATGCAAGAGGGGATCATTTATTCCCTTCTTAGAATTTCCAAGTGTCAGGGGCCGCTCTGCATGCTTTCACACCACTGCTGTGCAAAGATTTCAAAGTATCATGCACAGCAAATCCTGACTAAAGCCCAATAAGAGTACAGGTTATACATGAAGAAATGGAGAAAGGCAGTTGTAAGGAAAATAATGGAAATTCACTTGAGGGCAGCTATTCCCATTCTCAAACTATCTTCTTCTGACAATCCTGAAAAGTGTTAATATTTTGTTATTTTTCAAAAATATGGCTGGATGCATTTCAAGGCATCCTCTTTCTTCTTAAATATATCTCTTTGCCTCTTCATGTTTAATTCATGCTCATATTTGCCCACATTTAAAGCTAGGCTGACTTCACATTGGAGTTGAAAATAGCCCCAGGAGCATAAGGAACCCTGAGAGCCTGAGTGTCCTTAAGTGTCACAGCTGGGTCCCTGCCCCTTTGTGCTCGCTGCCCTTTCTACCTGGCTAGAGGCAGCCCCAGGCTTTCTGGGTATTTTAAAATTACTGTAACAAGAGTATTATAATAAAAATGCTTAATATTTTAATACATAGAATTTTATTTATTTATTTATTTATTTATTTATTTTTATTTTTTTATTTTTTTTGCTATTGCTGCTTTTGTGTGCTTTGGGGATGTCTGAGGCCTTTGCCCTTGTACTTCAATTGGTCCTTCTGCGGTGGCCCGCCCCTCTTTGTGTCACAAGCTGCAGCTGCTGACAGGATGCAACTTCTATTGGCCCATGTGCCGCCAGAATCATTGTTCAAGTTCTTAGTATTCTTAGGCAAGTTTGTTATTGGAGATGGCTTCACTCGGAAATCATCTCTATTTCTAGTGTTGTCTGTCACAGATAAAATGACACCATGATCAAATGAAAGCAAGCTTAGCATTCAGCCCAGTACTGACTTCATACCCTGGGAAACTTTCTGAATTCATTCTGTTTGGGACCCACTGCCCATTTCTCTTGTTTCCTTAATCTGACTGCAAAAGTTTCATGTAGGGAAGGCAGGTAAAGTCCCCAGCCAGTGCACTAATAGCAGTGAGGTTCCCCCAGACTGGAAAAAAACCACACTGACTTGCATTTGTTTGCTTGTTTTATGTTTCCAGGAAAGTTATATGAGAGGGAAGAAACTGTAGTTTCTCCTTGTGATCTCAGGATTAACTGTTGTACCACAATGTATAAGGTCCAAATGAACATTTCAGAAAAATTGATCAACTGAAGGGAACATTTCTGTAGCTCCATTTTGTGCATTTCAAAGACTCTCTTAGTTGAAGAAAGTCTAGCTACACTTAAAAATATTCCCTTTTATTGTTAGTATTGTCTACCCTAGTGGTATGAGGGGACTTCTGGAAGTTCTCAAGTTCTCAGAATTGCTTTTCCTCATGGGCAGATTAATCTAGGTTGCTTTAGTTTGGTGATTCCATCTCTCCCTGTTCAGTCAAGAGAAGGTGGGACCATGGTGTGCAGGGAAAGGCCATTGGCATCCTCTCAGGACTAAAACTGTGGGCCTGTATTTGTGTCTGTCTGTGAAGTAGAGTCACAGGAAAATCTTTAGGTCACCATCAGACACATTTGGTAATACAAGGAAAAACAAACAAGTCTCAAAACTTATTCTCATAAATCTTGTGTTAAATGCTGCTTATACTATAGAAGCTGCAGAACAGAGTTGCAGAAGCTCTGGAGCATGGCAGCTGAAATGGTGGAGAGAGGCACTGTCTTCCTGTGAGTGTGGGACCCTCTTGTTCATATGACTTTCCACATCTGCTCAGTCCTGCCTTCTTTCCAAATTTCAGGAGTTTTCCTTGCCTTCAGGCTGGAATACCCCTAGTGATGGTTCTCACTACCCCATGGTTACCATGTGTCAGCTGCAGTCAGTGCCTCATTCCTGAACTTCCCTGCTTGCCTCCCTCTGTCCTGGATGCAAAAGCCAATCTTCACTTCAGCCTCAACTATTCCCATGGAGGAGCTGTCACAGCTGTGCAGTGTCTGCCCCAACCCCGCAGGACACACAGAGACCTTGGTTTGCTCAGAGAGGTTGGTTACATCCAGCAAAAAGCTCAGGGGCAAATGTTAAGAGGCAAACATTGACAAGTGAAACAGAAGTGGACTGGCTTCATAGAAACAAAAACTTACTTAGCCTTATAGGTCCCCTGCATATACAGTCCCACACTTAGTTGAATGCTCTGACCTCTTTAACACATGTTTGTTTTAATTTACATACAGTCATATGAGTGCTTTGTGTTGTAGTGCTCTATGGGTCTTGACAAATGCATAATATCATGGAACCATCATTACAGTGTCACACAGAGGAGGTTCACCACCCAAAAATATTCCCTGTGCTTCTCTTATTTAACTCTCCTCATTCCTGAACCCCTGTAAACCACTGATCTTTTCACTCTCTATCGTTTTGCCTTTTCCCAATTGTCACATAATTGGAATCCTATAGTAGATAGCCTGTTTCCTTCACTTAACAATATGCATTTTAGATTCATCTATGTCTCTTGGTGGTTTGATAGGTGATTTGTTTCCTAATAATATGCCATTCTGTGGTATACCCCGATTTATTTATTCATTCATCTTCTGAAGGCCGTTAGAAATAAAGCTGCAACAAAAATATTCAGACCTTACAT